TCTCTCTTTCCTTAATCCTTCTAATACCACACGAAAAAAGTCTCACCCAATACCATCCATGGACATTTTTATTCATATATATAACTCATCTAAATTTCGACTCTAGTCAACTTTATCATTAATATATGTAATTAATCTGACATATCAGGATTCTGGCCGCACATTTCAAATAACTATGCACTTTACACGCATATATTCCACATTTGTAGCATTTCGTGCTAAGTCTGCTACCTTTTTATTTACTCGCATAATTTACAGCTTCATCATAATAATATAAATGTCTATGATGTCTACAACATATATACTGTATAATAGATGAGAAGACGGAAAAAATAACATATATGTGAATCATACTATCTCATGAACATTTTCGTGTACGAGAAAACGTTGACTTTTTCAAAAAAAATGAAAATTTGACAAAAAAAGAGATATTCAACAGATGATAGAGCTTTAAAAATTTACAGTCTTAAAAATTGATACAAATTGGTTCAATTTTTCACTGAAAATAAAGCATTTTACACACATATGAACGAAAATGCCCATGCACCGTATTAGAATAGTTAATAGACACGCACACCCACCCACAACCTCACCAACACCACACTCATTTTCAATAGAAACTGCATAAAAGTATGTTTGCTTGTATCAAATAAGATTGAAATGTCGTCTCTTATCAAAAAACTCACGAACGCATTTACGATGCATCACAATAAAAATATGCACAACAATTTAAATAGATATCTGTCCTTGATGTTTACGACTGCACGTATAATATACTATAGTTTTATGAATATATGTTTTAAACATGAGATATCAAGCGGGCAATATTTGTCTATGGTGGAAGCCTGTTTACGTTCTTGTAATCTCTTAAAGAACTGTAAAGGCTGGAACATGTATTTAAATCATCTATAAATGTAATTTTTATCGAAAACAGTCCATTTTCGAGCAAAAAATTCGAAAATACCAGGCGATAAGAGTAACTCATGAGACTTCATCTGTTAGGTAATGATGCAGCACTGTAGTGTTTATTAGATATGCTACTTGATTCTTTGTTAGGACAATCGTTTTCTTTCTCGGCTTACATTATTTAAATATAAAACTGAATAAACTCATAAAAAGCGAAATAATTAAAATTTGAATGTTTAACATAAGTCTTTTTTCATTTCCATGTTTCGACGTCTACGTAACCGTCTGCAACGTCGCGGGTTCGAGGCTGTTGAGGATCTGGGAAGAACAATTTGTAGATGCTCAAAATCCATGACCATATTACATTCGTATGTGGAGTCGTAACATTTTCTGATCTTGTGGCTCGTCTTAATCCGTCAGGATATGTTGGATTAGGACGCCAAAAATTGCTCCACATGTCTTTAATTTTTTCAATTAGTTGTCTGGAATCTCCAATCTGTATAGGTTTTTTTGACATTTTCGTAATAATAGACTTCCAAACTGCATTCTTTGTCTCTTCTCGCAATGGCCGCAGTTTTTCTCCGAATCGCCCACCAGCTTTCGTTGTACCACACACTACTTCAGCGAAATGAAATCGATTGATCATCTGTTGATTCGTATAGTCCTTCAGCCAAATATTCATTGGATCATCACTTTCACACTGCGAAATAAACAGTACGGCAGGAATTCTTCCTGACGATACGACACTGGAAAATAGCTCGAAATTTGTTTCAAACATCTCATTAAGACGTCCCTTTTTCATGACAAACAATAACAAGTTGAATCCACGTTGATTTGAACGAATAAACTCAAATAGTTTCTCAATGGCTTGCTCATCGGTTACTGTTCCTTTGCTATTCTCATTGAGTCCAACAGTATCAATAAGTTCGATTATTTGCCCATCATGAACAATTCTGACAGTTACATGGTCGAACGTGCACCCAACAGCACTATCACTGTCGTTGGTGACATGTTCTCCAGCAAGCAAGTTTATTAAACTACTTTTTCCAACACCAGTCTGACCAATTACGAGTATTCGATTTACATGACCTTGAGCTTGAATCTGTTGAATCAATAGATCTCCCCATGTCGTTGTTTCGTGACCGAGATATTTTGAAACAATTTCATTGCGAGGTGTGTCTGGTGGTAAGTTCAATTCATGACACAATAAAGTCCAAAAACTAATAGCTTCGCTTGCCGTATTCATTTTTTGAAAGCAATAAACGAATGAGAAGAGCTATGACTTTTTTTACTGCCTGTTTGCGATAACTTTAGTTGACATAATCTCTTTTAAAAATGGCCTGATTTTTCTCTCTTTATCCTACGCACATATTACGATATGATGATAAATCAGCAGACTTTCTTGTTTGCTTTCTACTTACATACTGCTTGCAAGCCGAAGTTATAAATACAACGAATATAATCATAATAGTATCTGCCGATTATATACGACTCATTGTGTGAAGCTTCACGAAGGTAATTTACTGTATAAGAGAAGATCCCAAAGTGATTCGTCGCTTTTAAGTCGGAGTGATGTGCACCATATATGCCAAAACGAACTATAAATACTGCGAAAAGAGTACGGATTGTTAGCTTATTGATATCGAGATACGATTGGGTGTTCCAAAACAAATGGACCTCACGGCATTTTGATGATATTTCTCGTTATACTTGTTTCTTATGACTTTATTTCTTTTCGAATGATTCGTCTTGAGATGTTCTATAACATTATGTATTTTTATTTGGTTAAATAACGTCCACCCTTTTCTAACACATGCCTCAACCAAAACATAGTTTTCCTAAGTTTTTCATGTTGGATTGTTTGTTCAAAGTATGTCTCAGATAATGATGGATATTATTCACACAAATGGAAATTATGCTATTTTTAGAGTATCTCAAGACGAATCTTTTGAAAAAAATAAAGTCATAACAAACAAGTATAACGAGAAATATTGTCAAAATACTAAGACGCCTATTTTCGCTGGGACACTCGATACATTTCTGCGGCATATTTTCAAGGCGTAGATGCAATGAGCGTGTGACTGTGTAACAAAAATCGTCGATACCCGTACCCTTACACACCGATACCCTCAGCCACAATCGTACCCTTACCAACACTCCCAAGATGATAATTGATGAGGAAATCGTTCGAAGTGATCTACCGCTTTTTAGCTCATATTTTCACCATATCAAGAACACCTTCGAGTTAGCCTAACCCCACAAAGATTTGGATCTATGGTCTGTTTTTCGTGAGATATCAAATTTTCTAGATTTTGGAGTAGTTGCCTAATTCGACTTCGAATATAAATGCACATTCCATATAACTATATCTATACATACATATCTAAATTCATGTATGCACATATATGTGTATATATATATGCTAGTTGACGTGCCCGGCGTTGTCCGGGAAAATTCAATATTGCATGCTTGACATATTGAAAAATGATGATCTTAAAGTTTGTTATAAGCTGCCGATTTTGGATGTTGCAAAATGCCCTCGGATGTCTTTTCGTTTTCACCTTTTCTTTTGTTTTAGCACTTTAATACTATCACTCTGATACATCCTCTTAGTGAACGTTTTGAATCCAGACATGAGCAAGGTCAATCTTCTTCAGTTCCGTCCCGATTCTGGTCAGAAAATTTGACTTCTAGTTCCATGCCGATCCTGCTCCTAATCTGGTCCTGAATCGACCCTAGTCCTAATCCTGTCTGACTTCCATACTAGTCTCGGTTCTGATTTTATCTTAGCCTTATTAATGATCCCACCGTGATTATAATTTTGGTTCTCATTATATCCCACTTCTATCCTGGTCCTGGTTCTATTCCGATTCCACCCCGGCTTTGACCCTGATTGTATACTCTAAAAACAGGTTCATTAATAAATATCTACACAGGGGAAGAATTTTTACGGTTTCGCATCGATATAAAGAACCTTAAGGATTCTTACCCTGAAAAAGGTTTGGTAGCAAAACCTATTTTTTCAGAGTGCATGTATATCTCTATCCTGGTCCTATCGTGGTTCTATTCCGGTCCCGATGCTGTCCTAGATGAGGATGGATATGAGTGTCAGTTTAGGTATGAGTATTATATCTATCCCACACCCACGCCCACTCACCCTCAAGATGATTGCTTATGTCTAGTTCATCGATTTTCAAGATATTCTCACACATTATTAAACTCTAATTTTATTCATTGCAACAGGTATGACTGATATACAAAACAATGCTCAGGAGTGCGCCCACCGTGTGCTGATAATTGGACAAGCTGGCGTGGGAAAAAGTAGCTTGGTAAATTTATTGATTGGAAGAAAAGCGGCAGCAACCAGTGACAGTGCAATTGGATGCACATTTGAATATACTGACTACAAAGCTACATACGGAGAAAAAACATTCGAATTAATTGATACTATTGGATTAAACGAGAGCAGTAAAGGCAAAGTTCCTAAAGCAAAAGCACTAACAAATCTGATCAATTTCATTCGAGATAATAAACGAGGATTTAATTGTGTTATCGTTGTCATGAAGAAAGGAAGAATTGACAAGGCTTTCGAGGAGAACCATGCATTATTTTGTAAGAGCTTACTAAAAGAGCAGATTCCAGTACTTTTGTATGTGGGCTGTTGTGAAGAAGATGAGCCATTGCATATATGGATACAAAACGTTAACAATATGTTGGTTTTGATACCGTATCGTTTCAGAGACCATATTTGTGGCACAACACAAGATAGCGGTCGATTTGCGAATGCACTCATAGAACTCCGTCGTGAAACATACAATGCTGTTTGGACTTCGATTGAGAAGAATATGCTCATGAAACCACTAGCGATTGAAGCAAGTCTTAACTTATTCAAGACTGTCTGGAATTCTGTATGCAACTTTTTCGGCACCGACTGGAAATATGTCAGTGACACTTTTCAAGACTTTCTCATCTATCTTAAAGATATGGGATTTAACGAGAAAGAAATTCGCGAGATTAATGCATCTTTGCATTAGAAATATCAATCAGGGTAAAAATGACAATTATTTTAAAGACAAGTTCCTCTCGATACAAACAGTGAATAGATGCACTTTCTTTTACGTTCATTCGAACCGATTCATGTTGTTATTTTTGTGCCAATTGTACATCTTAAATCAATAGTTTCTAATCATGAACGTTTTTGACGAATAAAGAAATTCCTCATAAAGAAATCTGATCATGTTTGAATGATTCTGAACTTTGATGTATCATTTTTATGAACCACTACACTTTTGAAAAATTATCTCCTCTCCTTTCTCTTCATACTTTAGAAAAGTCTGGAACACTTGGTTTGACATGTCAGCGAAAATAGCGGATGACGTAACGGTTAATGAGCGGTCGACGGATGCAATCATGGAAGATCAACGTTCACTTAATACAGAGATTTATCTAAACCGAATACTACTTATTGGTCAGATTGGAATCGGCAAAGGTAGTGTCATAAATTTACTAGCAAACGCAAAACTGGCTACTGAAACCGATCAGGCAGAAAACAACAATGCAGATGATTTTTCAGTTTATAAATTTAAATATAACGATGAAATGTATGAGTTTATTTCTACTATTGGTGTCAATGACAATGCTGATTGTCGAACGATACAAAAACAAATCGAGCGATGCAATCAAATAGCTGAAAATGGTCTAAATGCTCTTCTATTCATTATCAGTAAAGGTATACTGACGAAATCATTTAAAATAAATTATAAATATTTTCGAAATGACCATCGAATTCCCGCATTGCTATATATTGGTCATTGTGAAGACGACGAACCAATGTCAAAATGGATCAGAACTGAAGAGAACATGTATACACTCAACATGTACAGGTTTAATGACATTATTTGTGGCACAGCGAAACGCGGTGCGAGACATGAAGACATTTTGCGAGAACTGAGAGAAGAGACTAGGAAAAGCTTATGGCCAACTATTGAGAAAAATAAGCACAAGCAAATAATTAATTTCAGCATACCATATAATATTATCGTAAGTATTTAGGATTTTCAAATGCGTCAGTTTGATTTATCATTCTATTTACAGAGTAGCAATAAAGTGAATAATGCAAATGGAAATCGCTTGTTATTCTTTGGCCAAGTCGGTTCTGGTAAGAGTAATCTGATTAGTCTGTTAGCCGGTGCGCATATTATAGAGAATAATGACATTGCATCGAGCGATGTACCCGAGTTTCATGTACATCAACTGATCTATGGTGATGCCAGTTTTGAAATTATTGAAACCTCGGGGGTAGATGAAGCATCTAGTCGAATTGATCAAAAACAGTTTGTGGAACTGCTTCAATACGGTTTTAATTGCGCCTTGTTCATTCTCAGTAAAGGTCGACTGACCGATGTTTTCGAAAGAAATTACAAGTTGTTTAAAGATTTGTCTAAAGACAATCGGATACCCGCAATACTTTATGTGAGTCACTGCGAAGATGACGACCCAATGAACCAATGGATTGAAAAACAAGAGAATTTTGAATCATTGTGTTTTTATCAATTTGATGCTATTATTTGTGGTACAACATTATATGGTAGTAGACACGAACAGATATTGAGAGAATTAAGAGATGAAACACAAAAGCAATTGTGGGAGTCAATCATAAAACATATGAAAAAAGAACCTGTACTTTTTACTAGTAATATAAAAGAAGTTGTACAGTGTTTTTGTCACAATTTGAAAACGAAATCAGAAGGGTTATATAGAAATGGTAATTGTTCCTAATATTAATGTTTTTCTACAGAGAATGTATCTGTTCTTCACATAAAAATATAAACAACTAGTTTTTATTTCACAAATAGATACTGTGTGAGCCAATTTATATGAACCTTTTTTTTAGATAGTTAGTTGATTTAGAAATAAGAAAACCAGTGAGATTATATATTTCAAACAAACAAATATTCAAATGATGCTTATGCAGCAACATACTTGCAACAGAATTAGTAGAATTTTAATCGTTGGTCAAGCGGGCGTTGGAAAAAGTTCGTTAATAAATCTGTTAGCTACTGAAATCGTTGCAAAAGAAAATGATGGAGCGCACGGATGCACATTTGAATTTAACATGTACACAGCTCAGCATAATGGGGTAACTTTTCATATAACTGATACGCCTGGCTTTAATGAAACTACAAGCGGAACGGTGCCACACGACCAAGCTCTGTCTGCACTCGCCGAATTCATTGGAAAGCATAA